CGGCATTGGAAATATGGGATTGTCTACTGTGTTTTGTATTCAGACCTCGAATTCTAATTCCAAGCTTAGGAACGGTAAAAACGGTCATCTTTTCAGTGTTGTAAAGCTGATTTCGACAGCTTGTTGCTACTGTTTTGTAAAGATTGTAGAAAATTGTAGAAAACTCTAAATGAGGTGAGGGCAATTGGGTTGGCTAGATAATTGAGTCTAGTTTATTTCTTATTTGATGACCAAGATCTGAATATGAGTTTAAATTGGGAAAAACAGACCTGCAAGTAGCAACTGTCGATGAAAATCAATGTTAAGTGCTTAATAAAGAAATGTGTATAACTCGAGTTTCTTTTATTGGATGCTTATGAGATTTTGTACCTACACTCCAGGGGATAATTTAAGCTTGTTTGAGTCATTTGRAAGGTATCTTATAGTTTGATTGCAAGGTTGGACGTTTGTCGTTCGGTTTGACCGTATTTGACATTCGGTCGTGAGGTGAGTTAAATAGCTATTCAAATCTTATTGTATTAATGTATGTGATTTCTTTGACTTTGGAGTCAGTTTTTATTGGTCTTTTGTCTTTGTACGTGTTGATCCTTCGATTACGAATTCTTTCGAAATGTCGGTCGGTTTGGATATCCAAATTGTCTGTTGGTATTGTTCCTTTGATTTCTTGTGAAACCGGAAGTACGGGGATTACTTTGTGTGATCCGTCCCGAAAATGGTGAATGTCAACATGTCGGGTGAAGATGGAGGAGCCGGTGAGACATTCGGGTCATTCTCGTTCGTTTGTTTGTTGGCCGTACTCAGTGCCTAATGTGGAGAGAGGCACAAGTATAGGGACTCGGGCATACCCGGGAGATGAAGGCGGGCTCCCTGCCAGTCCTAAGTATTATTCTGTGTAACCATAGGAGCTCGAGCATACCCAGTGATGATGGGYTCCCTGCTAGTCCTATGTGTTCCCTTGTTCGGTGATTTTGACATGTCGATTTTGACCATTTGACTAACATATGATATTGATCAATTGCATATGAATTAACCTGGTACCATTTGGTAATTACTTGTAATTTGTATATCGAAATAAGCTTGTTATGTCATGTTRAATTGTTGGATTCCGACACTTGGTCTTTGGTTATATTATGGATACTCCTTGTTTCGTAAGTGTTAGTCATAGTTTATTGTTCATTGATGAAACCCTGAAAGCGGAATCCGGGTTAAGAACAATCACAAACTACGAATGGAGTCTGCTTTCTTGGACACTGGGAGCATGAAGACCCGGTCCTGATAAAGCTATGCATAAAGATAGCATTTTTACTTGTATTAAAACAAGCAGTCACAAGAAGTTATAAGCTTCTTTTTTGTTTTAGAAAGTGACTTTCTATTAATTTCAAGAAGATCTTGAAGAATTTTTATACCTTTTTGGTTTGTTGATTTAAGCTCATGAAGCTTGTATAGAGAGAAGTCTCCTTCTCTTGGCATGTCAATGCGTTTCTGAAGAGAATCTCTTCTTTCTTTAGCTGATTTTTGAAGTTCAGATAAATCCTGAATATTTTTTAATTTTTTTTTTCGATCTCTTCGATCTTGTTCAAGACCTGCTGGTCTAAATTCTTTATAGGCATAATACCTTTTCTTTTATCTTAATAAAAAGATTAGTATGTATGATTTTTATAAGAAGAGAATATAAGATAAGAAGAAGATTCATACTTGAAGAAATAATTAAGATAACGTAATTATACCTTTGCCTTTTACCTATCGTTAACATCATTTGAAGAACGCCAGCCTGCCGGGTTGTGGTCTGATTCCTTTCCCTAAACGGCCCCTGCCTAGCGGTACTCAGCAATCGTCTGACCATCCTGCTCTGTCACTCTTCCTCAAACATATTGACGACATGTAATCAAGACAAAGTATAACTACGAAATACTTCCTTTATTACTTCAGGTAAGCCCTCAAACGAGGGACTTCCTCAATATCTTACATCTCCTCTTAGGGAGTTCTACTCGCTACTCATACTATACATATTTCTCTTAGAGAGAATTATTGGAAAGAAAGAAGGATAGCTGTGGGAGACTGATGTCAGGAAAGTTTGTCATCAGTTTTTTGAATGAATGATTTTAAAAACCATTTTTCAACAACAACAACAACAACAACAACAACAAGAAGAAGAAGAAGAAGAAGAAGAAGAAGAAGAAGAAGAAGAAGAAGAAGAAGAAGAAGAAGA